TGAGAGCAAGTGTAATCTTACTGTGATTCAGCAATTTAGCTTTTGCTGTGTATGACGTAACGATAGCCCCGGTTTTCAGGAAGAGTATTCTCTCTAGCTTCCAGTTCGATAAGTTTACCCTCCCTTACGTGTACTTTTGTTCATGCTAGGATAACGAAGCCTTACCTCTGTTTCATTTTTGGTTTGATCTGATAATGTTAAGGTTACTACTCTTTTTCAAGCTTCTCCAGATATTATATCTTCAACTTTTTATGCTTTAGTGTACACCGTTTTTATACTTTCAACGAAAATGGTGGCCAAACATATGTGCAAGGGGCAGTGCTGCCGTCAACCTGTTCAGGCGGGTATGCAGTGTGACATATGTGACGGATGGTTCCACAGCACTTGCACTGACCCAAGGCAAACTGAGTACATCAAACTCAGTAAGCCCGGCCCCAAGTAGCATTGTCACTTGTGTAGATCTGCACTAAACGATGTTCTTGAAAGCATCAGCAGCAAGTTATCGGAATTAGAAAACAGACTGAAAGTAGATCATAAAAAAGGAAAGCTGGAGGACTCAAAAGTAGTGCCTAAGCCCAAGGGTTATGGAGTTAGAAAATCGTCTGGCGGAAAAAGTGGTCAAGTCACTCGACAGGAGCGAGGGTCTGGTTTGACGGAGGACGTGATGCGCCTCAGTAGTGCAATAACATCAACTGTCCTACAGTCCCTCACCCGGATTTTGTCATCAACAGATGAGGCGCAAAATGAAACTGTCATACCAAACAAGGGTGGTCAAGATGGAGAATGGGCAACCATTGTAAGAAATAAAAACAAGCGAGTTTCAACTCCATTCAAACCCATCGGGTCCGGGAAGGTGAGAAATCCGGGGAACAAACCCAAGTTGGGCAATCTGGAAATCAGGGAGGCTAAACATGGGTCCTCAGGAAAGTGGAATGGATATCAGACCATGCAAGTCGCTGACGAGTATATCGAACAACCATATGTGTTGCCCATGAATGAGGGCAAAGCTGGAGAAAAGATGAAAGCTCGATAAAAAACGACTGAGCGTCAACAGTTGACAGGACATACCACTGTCCGGGATGATTCCTTGATTGTCGTGAGCCTGGCAGACAGCCCTGAACTCCCATATAGCCTTCGGGACAAGAATGATAGGGTTCTTTGGGAGAACGTATGCAGAAAACTCAAACTGGACCACATAAAACCAGTAGCTGCAACTAGGCTCTCTCGCCGTCCCGACCCAATAACTAAGGGCAAACCCGTCTTTTGAGGCTCACATTCTCCAGCCCAGAAGATATCGAGGATGTACTCCTAGCATCTCGCGTGCTAAAAGCTGAAGCGGAAGTTGGAATACTGCCGGACATCCCACATTCTGAGAGAGAGGCCCCAAAGAATCTGTCGGGCGGCGGTCGTGACGCCTACTTCAGGGGATAAAAACTGTAGCGCAAGGCGCACCAGGGAACCCAGGCACCAAGGATATTCACTGCGATTCTCGTGAGTGGAAATTCCTCAAGAATACTATGAACCTGAAGGAAGTAATCACCCAAAGCGTCTCACGCATGCCCAAAAAGACGATGACCCTAGACCAAGGCCGATCAAAGTGGTCTTTTCGACCTCTCAAGCGGCAGCATCCATACTGGGGGCTTTTTGGGCGAGCAGAAATCGCCTGAGATCTGCAGTCCGCATGCGGCCTGGTAGGTCGCAGCACGAAAGGCTTCAACGAAAACAGAAAAAACTGGAACCAGTCGTGTCTCTGGAAGACTGCCTAGATGCAAAAAACGGGGAAGGAGCGGAACACTACACTAGTAGTCAGCAGTCAGGCACATTCCCAACCCGCAAACCCGAGGATCCAGCCAGCCAACTGGAAAAAAGAGAGGATGCAGGCATTGCGTTCCAAGTACAGAGCACAAATTGCATCTACACTGATGCACAAAGTTTACTGAACAAACTTGACGAGCTGCGTGACCTAAGTAGAGGTGCTTGTGTTCACCTTATCGGCGTTACTGAGACATGAGCTTCGCCTGACATGTCAGACCAGGAGCTGGTAATTGCTAATACCATGCTGTTTCGCAGTGACAGGAAGGCTGGTAGGGGGTGGGGTAGCACTTTACGTCAGCTCCTCTCTCACCCCACCAAATCCATATCCAGGAACTGGAATGCCTTGAAGAGTCCGTTTGGTGCATCATAAAGCTGTCCAAGACTACACAGTGCTTGGTGGGAGTCATTTATAGAAAGCCGTCTGCAGACGTGCAGTGTGACAAACAGATGCTGGAGGCAATCAGTTGCTCTCTTAAACTGGGGCACACACACATACTGATTTTATGAGAATTTAACCTACCGAAGGTCAACTTTGCAGATCGCACGTTTAGCGGGAGTGACGATTCCACTGAAGCCATATTCTTCCACCTGATTGAGGGGCTCAGGCTTACGGAAAACTTGAGGACGGTAACGCGAGTTGGGGAGACTCAAACCCCATCTCGCTTAGACTGCGTCTTTACAAATGAAGAATTCTTGGCAGACAACTTAGCAATCCTGCTTATTTTGGGCAGTAGTGGCCATGTTGTCATCGGCTTTCAATTTGCTTGCGAAACCAGTCTAACTAGACCTTTCAATGAACATTGTCGGAACTTCAGACGACTCAACACCCCGGCTCTTCTAACCGCACTGGAACAGACTGGTTGGGAAGTTAGCCATGCATGGCAAGATATGAACGCCCATTGGAAATTCACACTTGACAGGATCATGCGTGCGATCAGTCAGTCTGTTCTACCTTCGAGGCCGAAGTACCTCAAGTTAACTGAGGTAATAAGGAACCACACTCGCAAGCTACTTAAGTTAGAGAGACATCACTGGGCTGAACACAAAAGGATTAGTGCCGGACGTACCTACAAACAATTCAAACAGAAAAGAAACATGTATACGAAGGCCTTGAGAGCCGATTGGCAGCGGCATCAAGTCAGGCTGACAAACATGTTTGTGTCTAACTCGAGAGGTCTCTTCCGCTACACTGCTTCATTCCGGCAGGCTAAAGCGGGAGTCACTCAACTACTGGGTGCGAACGGACCAATTAATAGTGACACTGGAGCAGCTGAGCTGTTGGCCGATCAGTGCCTGCAAGTCGTTTCGTAATCATTCACCTACTCAGGAGCTTACAAACATTCCACTAACGAAGTAGGACTCTCAGTGATCGACCTGAACGTTGAGCTAGCACAGCGCAAACTGCTACTGCTCACCAGAGACACCTCCCCGGGGACCAGATAAAATCCATCCGGTGGTCCTGCGGGAGGGAGCCTCAATCTTGTCCGAACCCTAAAGTAAGTTATCCAAGAGTTCTGTGAGTCAGGGGATAGTACCTGATTCTTGGAAGCTGGACCACATAACGCCAATCTTCAAAGGGGGTCAAGGAAGCAACCTAAAGTAACGCGGACCGGTGACACTTCTAGCCATTTCTTCCAGAGTAATGGAATCGCTAACACACGATTGACTGAGGGATTATCTCACAAAGACAACATTTTTTGTGCCAACATGGATTTTGAAAGGGGTACTCCTGCGGTACTAACTTCCTCTTTGCGGTAGACAGGTGGACTAGCATTGTTGGCCGTCGAGGACGAACTGACATTAGCTTCCCTGACTTTGTAAAGACGTTTGATCATGTTAATCACGACTGTCTTATCAATAGGTTAAAATTAATTGGAATTTGATCCCCCCTCATTGACTGGCTGTCTTCATATCTACGGGGCCGTTCGTTTAGAGTTACGGTGAGCTTCTCTGTGTTTAAAGAAACGGAATGTCCTAGTGGTGTTCACCAGGGTTCAGTACTAGGGCCTCACCTTTTTCTAACGTACACAAACGACTTGCCTCAACAGGTCTCTTCCGAAATCCTTCTTTTTGCCGATGACGTGAAATTCTGGAGGGAATTCAAAAGTGATGAAGACAATGTTTCCCTACAGGAAGACTTGACTCGACTTCACAGTTGGGCAGTCAGCAACGGGCTTGCACTTAATCCTGAGAAATGCAAGGTAATACACGTTAGACATGATGCATCTCGTGTATATAGCCTCAACGGCATGGAACTAGAAGCGTCACTGACGGAAAAGGATTTGGGCATGTTGGTCCCCGGGACTTAAAATCCTATGCCAACTGTGACAGGAAAGCACTTCCTGGGGACTTAGACGAATTTTCGGGTGATTCGATCGCAGATACTTCCACCGAATTTTCAACAGCTTCATACGGCCTCACCTGGAGTTCGGGACCACCGTCTTCCCTCCTTATCTCCAGGAGGACAAATTGAACCTAGAAAGCATCCAGAGGCGTTAGATAAAACCTGTTCAAGGACTTAGGTCCAAAACATACGAAGAACGGCTGGTTACGCAGGATATGTATCCTCTGGAATACAGAAGGCTAAGAGGTGATTTGATAATGACCTACAACATTTTGAGCACGCCAGGCCATCCATCCCGTAACTTACAAAATCTTAGCTGCAGCGTTAATCTTAGAGGACATGCAAAGAAACTAAGCCTGGAACATAGCAGGCTGGATGCCAGGCACAACTCCCATACCCTTAGAGTTGTTAAACCCTGAAACGCTCTTCCTGAAGATGTGATCCAGGCTACTTCGTCTGAATCTTTTAAACACTGATTGGATACCACTTCATGTGTGTTGGGGATCTGCCCAGAACTAAGTGAATTTTTACATTTTAATCGCCACTTTTTTACCTTTTTTACTTGTACAACAGGTTAACGATCAAAAAGAGTAGTGATCCACGGATTGTAGACGCGGAAGCCAGTTAAGCGAGAGCTTCTTCTATTCCGTCAACAACCATTTGAACCATTTATCATGGTTTTCAAAACCAGGCCAAGAAATGTTTCTTTTCTAGGAGAAAAACGTATTGCGTGGGCACAGACATAGTACCCAAGGGAAAACCAACCACCATTTAATCAACATGTCGTTTGGCTTGGAAATCCAACATTTGGAAGAGGTTTTGTTTATATGCTTAGTTGTGCGGAATGCCAGTATTCCGCTTCGTTCAAAAATACTTTGAATTTACGAGAGAATGTCGCTTTGCAGACAAAACTATCACGAAGAATGTGAAGCTGGAATTAATAAGCAAATTAATATGGAGCTGTATGCCAGTTACGTATATATGACCATGGCTTTTCATTTTCATCGCGATGATGTTGCACTAAATGGGTTTTATAAATTTTTCTTGAAGGAATCTGAAGAAGAAAGAGAACATGCCCTGAAGGTAATTTAGTTTTCACCTATATGATTTGGTTCAGCTAATGACATACCAAAATATGCGGGGCGGTCGCATTGTGCTACAAGATATCTCAGCGCCTCCTCAACTTTCATGGACTTCTGGACTTCAAGCGATGCAGGATGCTTTAGAGTTAGAGAAGAGAGTCAACCAGAGTCTCGTGGATTTAGTTGCTGTTGGTGAGAAGCACAGGGATTCACACTTTTGCGAGTTTATTGCGAGTAAGTGTGTATGCATGTTGTGTGCATGAAGTTAATTAATTTAAATTACTTATTCTTAAGTAGTAATTCTGACCAAGACTTAAGGGTTTCGAAGCAAAACAATTTCCACTTTTAAGTTGGTGCCTACCAAATTATCTCATGCCTTGATGAAAATATTCTTCATTTCCTTAAAATTGTGGCGGTAGTAGATCATTTGCTGTCTACGAAAGTCAGTGTTATCTAAAAGAAGCATAAACCATTTGGCATTATAGATATTATTCTGGTAAGATTCCAAATGCTGTGTGCATTATGAAGCTACTAGTCTGCGAAGTACGAGTGTTATTTAACCAACGGGTGCAGGAGCACTAACAGTTTCGTTATAAATATGTATGTATAGTCACCTTTACTGTATGTATCTTGTAGTGTTATTGCAATTTGTCGTTATTTAAAGATAGTTCCATCTTTTGGTTTATACAATAGCCTTACAATATTTCAGAGTGACTCAATTTCAACAGATTTTTATGTCCTGTACAAAATTAATGGAGTAAGAACGCTAAGGGACTCATCGCGATGTAAAACGTAATAGGTCGTGTATTATAGGCCTTCATAATAAATTGGCCAGATTAAATGCATATATTTTAGTGAAGTTGACTCTTTTATACTCATTAGATTTAAATTCTCAATTTTCATATTGCGTTCTGTAGTTGCTTCTAGGTAAAGTTTTGCCCTAGTCGGGCGTTAGAATAAGAGATTATGGAGGAAGGCGTTGGTGCACAAAGTCCCATGGAAATACATAATACTACCAATTATAACATGCTTGCATTCTGAGGGTTGTTGTGAGAGAATCATCACAATGGAATAGCGATATCTTCAAACACTGATATCGTCGCTACAGCTGACCACGGAAACAATTTCATCAAATCTAATGTCATTGTGTAATCTTGGGCAATCTCATTAGTTTTAATCTTACAATTTGTAGCAAAAACATGGCAGTTTTGTAGAATGAAAAAACTCAGCCTTCTTTCTAGGTTGTCATTTCTATGGTGAAAGTAAGTTCATTTCATAAGTAGCAGTAGCTCCTCATGACTTCTAGACTGTGAAGTAAGGGTATCATCACTGTAGAATGATTTCACTGTAAAAATAAGATTTTTGGAATTCTTTTTGATTTAAAGTCAAGTTAGTGACTTTCCGGTGGAAACTGACTTTTGTTGAACCTGATTTCTGTCTAAAGTGCAAGGATACTATGGATCCAATGAAAAGGATACAGATGTTATAGCGTCGTAAGTGCGAATAGGCTTAACTGTAACGCAATAATCTCACAGTGATCCACAGGCTGTTCATATTATACCTTCATTCATTAAATGTTAGTGTTTTAACTTGTTTTTCTATCTACTAGATGAATATTTGGAAGCCCAGGTGCAGTCAATGAAACAACTTGCAAACTATATTACCAATCTTCATCGTGTAGGAAGTGGTCTTGGAGAATATATATTCGATAAGGAAACCTTACATGGGGAGAGTTAATGATCTTGTCCATTCAGATTATTATTATTATTTATTAGCTGTGTGCAAACTGCGGACAAATATATTTTGTAAAATTATTAAATTAAATGGATAAGTTCTTGTGATACGATTCAGATAAGTTGTGACCGTTTTGAAGAAGATAAGTTAACGACTATGAGACTTGTTTAAGTTCAAGATTGTCACCTATTCGTCACTTCCGAGAGCATATTTTGTTAGGGTGTAAACACATCTGGTTAGAAACATTTAACGGGCTTATTAGAGTGGTTGCTTCGGTTTCAGTTGATTTAACCTATGGGCTATACTACTGGATTTGTTTTCATTGAGGTGCTTCTTTCAGTACAACAGGTCGTTAACCAGGATTAGAACTGTCTGTGGAAACGACTCACTTTTTAACCGTACTGGAGGATTTAGGTGCAAAGTTCACTTAGGGATGATTTTGTTACCACTCAGTTATACTGCTGCAAATTCTCACAATAATATTTTACTGGTCTGTAAAAGCTTTCTGATGTTTAATTCTTACAATCAGTGGATCTGTAATGCTTGGTAGAAGTTCTGACCAAGCGTTCGTTCATCAAAGTTTACGCTGAAAACTGCGAACCCAACTATATGCACGAGGTGAGGCCATCACAACTCTCCTTGTTACAGACTACTTACACCTTAATGGTCACGGAAATTGTAAGTATCAGTTAAACATCAACAAACATATCTATAGTTTATCCTAAGCTTTTGGATATCCTCATACTTCTTAGTGAGAATGATACCGAAATACAAGTGCATTCGAACTGCTGTGAGATTTATAGAAACGCAAGAAATTCACAATTGTTTTGAATGTTGCACACTTTTAAATTGGTTTTAGGACCGGACATTTTTGTGTAATGGTTCAAATTGCCTCGTCTCATAACATCAGATCAAGTCAGTATGCACTGAGATAAACGGTAAAGAAATAACGCAGAATCGGTCGACAGCAGTAGAAAGTAGCAAAAGAGGAAGGAGGAATGACAAAATACTAAACTGATGATTAAAGTGAGAATAATATGTGGATACACCTACCCCACTGGTATCGATTCTTAGCCATATCACTTAGGGTCTTTATCCACTGGTTTCTGTTTTCATACGAAATCCAATCGCGAAGTCTACATCCCCCTATGTGACTAGGACCAACAGTCAAAGACTTTATGCAACGATGCTGTTTTAATCTAACCTCCCCTAGCCCTTATCCAGCCTAAACCTACTTCAACCAGCACTGTGGGATGAGGTAAATGGTGACTAGGCAAGTGTTACACGCCCCAGTCACCTAAATTTATGAAAGTTTACAACCTCACAAACTGACTTTCTTCTCCCTAGACTCTACGGCTGAGTTCTGCCTTAGGGATGCGGTTTCACCACGACGCAGGGTTTATGATACGAAGGCAACGGTGGCCAGACAGTACCCCAAACCCTTAATAAGCAGTCCAATATCACGGCGGCTCCACAGATGGCGAAAGCCAATCGAACCTTGTGTATCCGTATGGAGATTTCGTCAGTGACTGACTGACCCACCAAGGCTGATCTGACTTCCTAGGGAAGTAAAGTCTTCAACGCACTTAACCATTTCACTCCATACTGTTAAATAGAGTACCACTGAAGACCAGTCCTGAGGCAACGATTTAGATTTCGGTGGAAAGAAATGCATCCCAAACATTCTCGAATTACTACCTAATGTGTCCAGAAGACTACATCTTGCCAGTTTCTTCATTTAACAGGACTGTGTCATCTGCTGTAGTTTTTTTAACATATTAGAAAATAGTTTAGCAAGCTGTTTTGTTTCGCTTTGTTTTGTTAAAAATCAGGGGACTGAAGTATTATTTTTAGGAGAAACCTGTAATATCGCTTTGTTGTATCTAGTAAATGAAATTTAAGCATATGAAGAATTGTTTTTCATTAACTTGAGTATTCGGATTTCAACCAGTAGGTTACGGGTTCAAACTGCTCTCCAGATTCATCAACCAGGTTGTATCACAAACTCTTAGATATTAAGTGTGGCTCATAATGTATTACCTATACATTTTTGGTATTTTCTTAGAAAACACTGAACATCTACGTCCTGAGATACAAATATTCACCATTAAACAACATGCGTGTAACGGGTTGTGTTGCATTACAATCATACAACCATACAGTGTACTCAACTGTATATCTATACACAGTGATGTCTATTAACAGAGGTTTTTGAAGACTTTTATCCTTGATATCAGCCTTAGAAATGCAATAAACTATATAAGGCAGGCAAACACTCATGCTAACTGCTACACGCATTCATTATTTATCGTTGAACATCTCTACCAATCTTCATTTATCGATTCTCTCTCGTACTTGTTTTGGCTAGATTTAGAATCATTCTGTCTCCTCTTTCTAAGCTGTGGTGGAATGTGACAACTTTAACTGATACACCTTTGTGCAAAGTCCTACTGTGATCTCTGTCCTTATATTTCCAGTTGCGAGCATACTTATTAGTGACCTCCCGTCATGTTGCTCATGCATCTTGCATAAATTTAATTGCTTCTGTGTTAACTTCAGTAAATAAATTATAACATTTAGAAATAGATATTTTCTGTTCTTCTGTTCACTTATCTGGCTGAATAAGTTATTCAGGTATATGTTTATAGTTCGAATTGCCAATTTTCTCATACTATTCAGTTTGGAATGTTAATCTCAGTTCATAATTTGTTTTTACAATAGCTGAACTTTATTTCTGTTATGCTGCTTCAGCTTCGTACACTATTGGACTAATTGCAGAAAGTCCCTTTTTGAATCCCTGTAGACTTATTGCGACTTGAAAAGCTGCAAAACTCCATACGCCAACTTAAATGTGGTTTAAGTCAATCAGTCGATCAATAACAGCTTGGGACCTGGCATTATAGCGAAACTGTTGCCATAAATAAGTGCATCAAGATGGCACCAAAATGAAAGGGTAATGAGAAAGAAAGTGATGGAAAATCGTTAATGAAGTGAGAGAAGATACAGATTAATAGCCAAATAAAGATAATGTATGGATTTATCAGCTCCAGTAATATTGATTCTGTGTCATGTCACCTAGAGCCTCCAAACATCGACTTTGGTTGTCAATTTGGCTCCAACGGGGAGGTCTGCCTTCCTCCACATGACTAAGACCAATAGTTAGAAACTTCATGGACTGACAGCACGTTTTATTGTGACCATCTCTAACCTTTTTACAGCCTAAACCCAGATACTGAAGTTTATGAAGGTCTACGGTCTCATCGACTGACATTTTTGAAAAGACGTTTAAATAGTCACATTAATTTCTTTTACGTACCTAGCCATTGCATTATTTATTACTGAATACGAAAAGCTGTTCCAAGAGATGTGCTTGTTAGTATGGGATTCTAACTTATTCATATAACAGCTTTCAGATACCTTAATGTAAAATTCACTTGGTCATAATTTTTGTGATTCGATGTACATCGTAATAGTTGGTATCTGAAGTGGATTGCGATGGAAAGTAAAAGAGAAAACTCAATATACTTTGTCCGGAGTCATATGTTATCGTTCAAGGAGTCAAAAATTGGTCAGTCACAATCTTGTATTTCAAAGGCGAAAGCGTTTCTTTTTTAGTGGCAGCTTAGTTAAGGTTAAATGATGTATAAAGTGGTACATGTATGCATTTCATCAAAGTCCTAAGCAAACTGATCTGATCAGTATTGTCATTTAATAACTCCTCAGGTTGAATTTACAAATCGATCGTATCTCTGGTTGACCGTTTGCGTAGGCCTCATTAAGTGAATGGATTTTAAATGAAATATATTTGTAAAAATATTTCATTTATAATCTGTTTACCCAATGCTTAACTTATTCAACTCTATCAGGTCAAATTTCGGAATAACTTTAAAGGCCACCCTAGCAACTGACGAAACAATCAATCACATTTCTCTATTCTATGAAAAATTGTCTTCCCAGTCGGAATACCGCAACCTGATTGGTTATTTTGCAGTTGTTTGAATGGCCTTCAAACTTGCTCAAATTTTGATCCTAAAGTTCACAAAATAAAAAAAGGAATAAAAAGTACTAAATAAGCCATTTAAATCAGAAAACTGTTTTGCAATTCACCTGATCTATTGATTATAAAATCCCATGTTGATAATTTCATAGGAATTATGAAGGTCATTTTATTAACAAACAGCTGATCTGTCTTGTAAAATGCATTTGCTTAGATTTTGAACAAAGTAAAATGGATATGATTGGTGGAATAAAATGAATTCCTACTTTTCGCTGTCTCTCATCACAGCTCCAGACTTAAATCGCGAAGTTAATTAAAAACCTTAAGTAGGTAGAATTGGATGTTTTAGACAAAAACTAAATTCGAAATGTAAGGCAAATCGGAGAATTATAAGTCGAAGAATAAAAGCGAAGATGATTAAAAAAAACATATTGAGCAACCCTATGCACATTTATACAATGGGCAACGAGCCACATATACTCATCTTGGTATCTAGAAGTAAGATCCAAGACGCATGTTTCGTCGCATTTAGGACTCGTCAGCTGGATTCACCTGCATCCCAGTGAGTGATGTTGTTCTCACTGGGAATCAAACTCAGTATTCACCACTTCAAACGCCAGGGCGTTGTCCGCTAGGGCATAGGAGTCAGCCCTTGTGAAAATGGACACTAGTTATCCCCTGATATTTGTAAATCCTCGTTGATACACAGGATTGAGCTGCTCAACTTTTGTTAGCAGATGGGCTCCTGTGACACATAGTGTGCGAGCTAATAATATCACCTTTCTGCCCAAATCTAGGTAGGTGGAGAAGTGTTCGAACCGGCAACCCATTGGTTGGAAGTTATCTCCATGAGCAATTATATGACTGGGACCCTGAAGTTTTGAATACAAAAATTAAGAGGT